GGGTGGGGGGGGAGCATGGCTGGGGCGCGTACCTTGGGAACCTACAGCCCGAGGCAGGGAGCGGGGACCAGCTTCCGTTCCTGCCTGCTTCCGAGAGGGAGATGGTTTCCCAGCCCCGTGCTGGAGGGAGGCTGGGATCCTTTTGCACTGGCAGTGGGTTGTGGCTAGAAGCCTGAGCTGCTGGTAAGGCCCCCGTGGGTTTCATTACAAATGGCGATTGAAATTTGCTCATTGAACCTGACAGAGAGTTTGCAGACAAGGTTCTTTAGTTTTCCTGCCTGAGTCTAGAAACTCCGTTTCAGCAGGAAACATGGCCGAGGTCTGAGAATGGCGGGGAGGCAGGGTGGGAGCGGGGTCCCTGACAACGCACCACTTTCTAAAACAGAAGAGACCCCGTTGTGCCAGCAAATCCAACTTGTGCCTCGGCCCCAAGACACGATTCCTATTCGGGCGCAAAACTCTCCCACAGCCCAACTCGGTTTCCATTGCAAACGGAGCTAAAATTTGCACCCAAAATGGTGACAATTCCCAGGGGAAACCTCCCCTCCCCGCCCATCAGAGAAAAGGTGGGGCTTGCACAGCACTCCCAATCCGGCCTGCAGTGGGGGCTGAGCGGTGGGGGGAGGAGCTGCTGGGGGAGGAGAACAAAACCCTTTATTTAAAGCACAAAATATCCAGATGCTTTTCAAACCAGGGCAAGGAAAACGTTGAGTGTCTGGGGGGGTGGTGGTTGTGGAATGGATCCCTCCTCCCTTCAGCTGGGGGTGCCAAAGTAGCACCAAGCCAGTGCGTGGAGCCCCCCATGGATGTTTCTGTTACCTGATGCCTACACCTGAGCAACATCCTCATCTGGGCTAAATCGGCATCGCTCCATTGAAATCACTGCTGGTTTACCCCAGCTGCACTTAATCTGGCATAAGGAGAGTGTGTGTGTGTGTGTGGGGGGGGGTGATCTTAGCACAGAACCTTCGGATCCCATTGCCATCTGAACTGCCTGCACACCCTTAGCTCAGCACACGCTAATGGCACCCAGCACCTTAACCACTCAGTGCCATGCAGGCCCAGCCCCGTGGCTTATAAAACCAGCGTGGTGGGCGTGCAGGGGAAGCTCAGATTCGAGTGGCCAGGTGAGGAGTGAGCGAGATTCGTGCTAACAGCTGGCTATTAACTAACAGCTCCCGGGAGAGGGGGGAGTCAGACGCGTGCGAAATCAATAGGGTCTTCTGGGCGACTGATTGAAAAGAATTTATGTTAATATATTTTATTTAATAAAAGCTAAAATCCGCAGTGTGCATCTTGCCTGTTAGCCAGATCTGTGTCTGCCTTAGTGCTCCCCTTGCCCAGCGTTGGTGTGTGTGTCATAGGCCTGCATCGCTATTCCTTACCGCACAGCGGGAAGGCCTGTTCCCCACAGGGCCTCCCCACGCCTCTTCTCTTTCTCACCTTCATCTGCTTCCCCTTAGCCGGAGCAGCCGGCTTGGCTAAGGCATCACCCTGGAGAGGCAAACCAGCCGGTATTTATTTTCTGTTTAATGGCACTGGGCCGGGGCTGGCTGGTGGAGGCTTTGCCACGGTGACTCGGAGGCGGGGGACACGGCCGTAGTGCAAACACCGTGTTGCGTTCCCCCTCATTCCTGGTGTCTGGCTGCCGGAAAGCTGCACCCCTGGGGGGGTCAGAGCTGGCAGAAAGGCCCAGCTTAGCAGTGGACTCTTTGCATAGCAAGACAACAGACTGGGAGCCAAGAGGC